TGCAGCTCTGAGGACTGGGACAACAGATGAGAAACGAGGGACACCGGGCTGAGCAGCGTGGAGGCCCATCTGCTCCACAACAGAAGCAGTGAGGTCCAGCCGTGCACTGTATCCATCACTCGCCACCCTCTGCTCCTTAGTTCCCTTCATTGTCATCACAGCGCATCCCAAGAGAAGCAACGTGCTCTGCCAAAAGACCACTTTTTTTTTGGATGAGACAAAATGCTACTGCCTGCCAGGTGAAATTTGGCCACAGTCTGCTTGTTAGCGGTGACAGAATTTAAAAACTCTGCCTTGCTATCAGGTAATGTTGTATTTCTTGCAGATACAATCATTTTACCAGCAATTAGAACAATAAATTCAAACACAATCCAAACAACAATCTACCATGTTGAATGTTTCATAGCCCAGAAGCCTCTAGCCATTTCTGGGCAGGTAAGAATGTCTCCTGCGATAATTAAACATGTCCTGCATGATGGCTGCAGGAAGCGTGAGCAATGACTACAAACACCCGGGCGTTATTAATTTATTAGAGATTTACAAAAGGTGCCCCTCATCCTTAACCTTTAAAACCACCTTCACACCTCAGCTAATCTTCACTTCTGGCCTAATTAGAGTCAGCTGAGGCTGATTCAAAATCTGATTACTTCTAGTAATCAGATAATCTAAGGTGCTCAATATCACTTTTCACTGCGTTCAGACCTGCTGACCTGATTACGTTTCATCTAATAAGAGCTGAGGCCTGCGCCCCAGTCAAAGTGTTATTAATCAATGTCCCATTCCCCTTGTTATACCCCAGCAATGCAATTAGGCTTTACAACTTAGTCAGCAAAGAAAAAAAAAGTTTACAACAGGGTGGGCTACAATAAATTCGTGCCGGTTGAGTGAGCTGAAAAGCAAATTTAGGAGTTGTGGCTTAAGCCTGACCTCAACAAATCAGAAGCAAGTTCCAAAATTTGCACTTATCCATGTTATTTTTCTTCATTCTAATGCTACCACGGCAAACTCCATCATAATGAGTTTGAGCAATGGAATAATAGTATAATGAAATATTTTTTTTATCCTTGGGAAGAATGACTCTGGCAATGAAGGGGACGCCATGCCCTTTCAGCTTCAGCTAAAAGCCCACAGTAGGGCGATTTCTGCATCCGGGGAGCTTAAACTTGAAATTGCCCTGCTCCATATGAGGGCTCATTCATCCCTCACCATAGGCTATGTATTTTGTGCCTCAGCACACTTGATAAAAGCTGCTTTGATGTCCGCCTAATATTATTAACCAAAAATGAGTTAATTTATAGTCTTTGTCAGTCATTTTAACACGAAAACTGATCGGCATCCATTACAAAGATTCGCTAATCAACAAGCTTCTTAACATCCTCCACAAGGCCTCTTTCCAAATCATTGTCCCAAATTACCCTACCCAATCATCATTATCCTGATTGTTTTTGACATATTTTAAAATGCCCTCCAGGTTTACAGAGAAAAAGCTTGAAAAGACAGGTGGGAACTTCTCAAAGTGGTAGGTTTTTCTTCTCAGACTCCTGATACAAAGTGGAGTTCTGCATTAATTAGCTGGAGTGGTGTTTCCCACCGTGCAGGCTTGTGGAGAAGGATAGTGTTTTCGCAGCAGGCAGGCAGGAAGAGCAGGCGCTGTCTTCACCCTGCCAGTCAGAGAAGTGGGCTGACAGATGAGCTGAGACAGAAGCCCTGGAGGCTCATTGCCCATGAGGCTGAACCATCCCTGGATAGATCTCCTCCTCTCCTTTCTGCCTCTCACTGAAGTCTCTCTTTGTTGCACCGCAACGAGCTGTGATTTAAAGAGGCAAGGTTTCAACTACATTTTGTTCACGATAAGTTCCTAACATTCACGCTGGATTACCTTACTGACTTATCTTTACTTTGGCCTCATTTTCCAATGTGCTGGGCAATGCTAACATAATTTTGCTGGATTGGAAAATATAACAACAACACAGAAAACAGCACTACAAGTCCTGTCTCCGATATATTTAGACCATTGATTCTTTTTTTTTTACTTTTCTGCATTACCATCGTGGCATATTTCACACACCTGAGTATACTGTCACTGTCCAGTCTACTCAGTTATAAGACAGCAAGACATATTGTGTAGATATGACATCTAGAGGCTGTGTGCACATGCACATATAATGTATCTTTGTAAAATGTCTTTTACATATGTTCTTTTCCAATCTTAAGTATTTTTGGTGCCTAAATGATATCAAGTTCAACAGATGAGCCCCGAGCTTGTACAGCACAGAGAAGTCAAGTGCTTTAAACACCCTCCTCTCTTCTAGCCACTCTTCGTGTTTCTGTGTGTGTGTGTCAGCATGTGTGGAATCACACTGCTGATAGTTATTTCCTTTCCCGTGATGTGATAACCACCTAGACGGGAGAGGAGGCAACATACTGACAGCATGCATGGGATTGATAACAACCAGCCAATTTCCTCATAAGATTTGAAACTGGAAACATCCCAGACAGTGATGATACAAACCAAAAAATACACAAAAAGTAGAACAACATGTTTACGACCAGCTTCTTCAAGGATGAATGCCGACGCTTCACTGGCTGATGAGCTCGCTCGCTTCGACGCCGCAGCAATTAAAACAACAAACGGCTGCGCGCGCTCGGAGTGCACCAGTGGAGACAATGCATTCATCATCACAGAGCATGCTGTGAGGAACACCTTCAGCAGGGTGAACACCGGGAAGGCAGCAGGACCAGATGCAATCCCTGGCCGTTTCCTGAGAGCCTACGCTGACCAGCTAGCACTGGTGTTCACGGAGATCTTCAACCTTTCCCTGGCCCAAGCAGTAGTTCCCACGTGCTTCAAACAGTCCATCATTGTCCCTGTTCCAAAGAAACAACAGCTCGCTTGCCACAATGACTACCGTCCAGTAGCACTGACTTCAATTGTAATGAAGTGTTTTGAAAGACTGATGAGAGATCACACCACTTCTTCTCTTCCTGCCACCATCGACTCGCTTCAGTTTGCTAATCGTTCCACAGACGATGCCATATCTCACCTGCTCCACACATCCCTGAGTCACCTGGACACTCGCAGAGGGAATTATGTTAGGATTATGTTCGTGGACTACAGTTCAGCATTCAACACAATAATTCCCTCTAAGCTTTTCACCAAATTGATGGATCTAGGACTCAGCTCATCACTGTGTCAGTGGATCCTCAACTTCCTCACAGACAGACCTCAATCAGTGAGGGTGGGAAAACAAGTCTCCCCCTCCATCTCACTCACCACTCACCACTGGCACGCCAGTGGAGAGAGTGGACAGTTTCCGATACCTGGGTGTCCACATCACTCAGGACCTGTCATGGTCCTGTCACATCAACACCCTGGTTAAGAAAGCCTGTCAGCG